GCCCCCCATGAAATAGATGCTAAGCAACACAGGCTCTGTCTGTCATGTGATAAATGCTCGGTAAACACTTCCAAAGAAACAGGGGCCACAGTTTTGGGCTCATTTCACTATAATTGAATATTCAGCAACACGTGGATTAAACATCCAGATGACCAACTTCACATTTCAGTTCCTACCCCGACGCTTTGGAATCAGACAATGCAGCAAACCTCACCCTTTTCCTGTTTTTATTATAAGAGATTACATAGAAACAACGGCAGATCCAAAGGCCTCTTTCATGTAACCTAGCTGTACACTGTCAGGGACGGAGAGCTCTCCTGTGCACCTGTGCTTCACAGCGCGACTTGAATTTTGTTCCTAACTGCCAGGTGCAAAGGGACTGTTCTGTTTTTTTTTTTTTTTAAGTAATGGCACAAATTTGCTATTTGTAGAATAAAGCACGTGGGAAACAAAACAAGCGAGTGAGCTTCCCAGTCCCCAGACCACAGCATGCACCTACAGGTCAAGCATGTGTGTGGAAGCCATCTTACCCATTGGGATCCGTGTTCACCTGCTCACAGAAATTCTGGATAGCCGACCAATCCTGTTCTGACACACTTGGGTCTGTGGCTTTATCTGTCAAGGAAAGAAAGTCAAAGTAAGTATTAAAATAAACAAATGTACTAAAAAGAACATTATGCTCTTTTAAGAACTATCTCCATGGGATCAAACTGAAAAAGGCAACTCGGAAGGTTAGACGGGAACCTTGGGGGCAGTGAATTTATGTTAATGAGGGAGGAAGAACTCAGAAAAGGAGGGTAAGAATGGATACACACTCAGAGAACGTCACAGAATGGCACCTGTACAAACTGCTGAATTGGTGTGTGTTTTGTTATCTACAGGCTCAACAATAAAAGTAATAAAATTATTTTTTTTTAAAAAAAGAAACTTATCAAAACAGAAACAAACCCAATGCCATGACGCTAATGCCGACACAGAGCGAACCTATAGAACAGGGTAGAACGGCTCAGTAGGATTTCCAAAGCTGCAAATCTTTACAGAAGCACACTGCCACATCTTTCTTCCGTGGAGTGGCTGATGGGTGGGTTCAAACTACCAACTGTTTAGTTAGCAGCCAAGTGTTTAAAACGCTGTACCACCATGTCTCCTCAAAAGAAACATACACCCCTCTAAAAACCTGACTGCCGAAGGCTGTGACCTCCCTCAGGAGATCAGACCCAGCAGACAGCAAGCTGAAAGGGACAAGGGCCATGCCTGTGCTGTCCGCCAGTCAAGCA